AAATTGCTGTCCCGGTGCTCCACTACCCAGTATTTTGTGCCATGCGTTGTGGTACATGGTATGAAATGTCACCGGATCAGAACAGGAGCACTTGGTGCAGACAACAGAGAATCAGGCCCTGTTCACACGGGACTGGGCACAAGACATCAGCTTAGGAAGCACGTTCTCATGTCGTTACCCATTTTGCAGACTGGACTACTCCTGTAACACTCACCCTGAGTCCTTGGGAATGTCCTTCCAATAGAGGACCTTTGTGGCATAGGTGGAATACCTGTTCGGCTTAGGTGGAAATGACAACTCAGCAGTACAAACCCACGGTAAATACATGCAGCCTCCCCTGCTGTCAAGCCCCCTGGGGAGCTGGTCCTCAGTACAGATTAAAAATGCAGCAGGTCCCTCTGTTTATGATTTGCAAACTACTTTTCACTGCTGCTTGCTCAACTCTTTTAAGTATTTTTATTTCCATTGCCTGGAAAGTCAGCCCCACCAGCAAAGCACTAGCGAAGAGTGCCTTGTTTGGCTGTTGAATCGAGGGCATTGCATTCCAGAAGGTGGCACCAAACCCCGTGTGCACAGCTGTCACATACACCCAGCGTTCGGTGCCACTCACCTGGCAGGCTGTGCACCCCTGCCCATGTCCCCATGGCTCTGCCGGGCTCTGTATAGTCTCACTGCCTGAGTCGAGCTATAATTTTATGTTCCACTCCCAGATCCTAGGTAATAGCCTCTCCAGCTGCCTGATGATCTAAGCAGCCAAAGATTTATGCCCATGGAAAGCTATTTTGCTCTTGCCTGATTAAATTGTAGGCTTGTGCCCTGCTTAATTGGTACTGCAGGTATGAAGAGGGAGGGGGATGTTGCTCTGTGCCAAAGGGCTGCCACCGAGCATAGATCCCAAGAACCAGTGTCAGGTAGAGGCCAAGAAGCACAATTAGGCCCGTCCCAAACCCCTGCTCAGCTGCTGTCTAACCCTGAAGGCCCTTAAACTCCCATGCACCTGGGTTTCTGGTGCTGAAGACCCCTCTGTGCCTACATTTCTGCTGCTGGGCAAATGCAGAAGCCCCTATATGCTGAGCATCTAAGCCCCAGAGGTTTCCACCACAGTCCCCCAGCTTATCTGCTCAGCAAACCCAATCCTGAGCATCCCAGCCAGCATGCAGAAAGGAGGTGATGGTGTCCCACCGTGCACCACCCTGGGTTTAGGGGCAATAGTTTAACTAGTGGGAGGGTGACAAGGCCACAAGTCCCATGCACTGATGTTACAGGGGCAGCACAATTGAATTAAAGGGGGGACCGAATCTGGCATTGCCCTTTGCCACTGGTAACTGGAATCAGCAGCAGCTGTGGACTCATGTCCCGAGTCCCCTCATCAGCCTGTGGGGGAAGCGGTCGACACAGCCCCTTACTGCAACCACCCTCTTGGTCAAGGTGACAGGGTCAAGCCCCTGCACCGCTGCCATAGGAGCCTTGAGACAGTGCACGTAGCAGGTGGCTACTGCATTAAACCCTAGGCTGCCAGTCAGACCAACACTGAAGCCCCCCGCCACACCTGCTCAGGGCACAGACCATACCAATGATGCCTCGGTGGAGGAAACTATCCCCAGGAGGTGAGTACTTTGAAAATGCCAGACCAGCTTGTGTTGATCTATTTGTAAATGAAATGCTCCATTTTGCTGCTGGCTGGACTGCTCCGTAATCCCGAGTTTTGAAGGACCCCTTCCCACTTCTTTTAATCGGAAAAATGCCATTGTAAAAAGAGCAAAAAAAGCTTCAGAAACGGAGGTGAAGCGCACTTCAGCCTGCCGGCCGCCTCCACCCTTGGCCCTTCTCTGCTCCACTTAAACTGCCAGTCTGGCGAACCAAGGTTGTGAATCAGGGGGTCACAAAATGAAACAAGTGTGTAGGCAGTTTAAAACTAGCAAAAGGAAGCTCTTTTTCACGCAGCGCATCATTAAAGAGCGGAGCTCGTGGCCACCAGATGCAGTGGGAAATGAAAGCTTAGCCCGATTCAAAAGGGGATGGGACACGTTCTTGGAGGAAAGGGGCATCAGGAGATATTGAGCACAGGGGTTAGGGCTGCAGCATCTGAATCAGGACTTCCTAGACCTTAAATACTAGCAGCTGCACGTGAGAAAAGAACAGTGGAAAAAACCCTGGTCACATCCTGTTCACTCTCCCTTCGGCGTCTGCTCTGCTGCTGTGCGAGACAGGACACTGGGCAAGACGGACCTAGGGTCTGACTCAGTAAATGGCAGTTCTTATGTTGTTATGTGTTATACCTGATGCTTTGTGTTATCCTTTGGTTTGGCTCTAATCACATACAGCTGCACTGAAAGTTACCTACTAAGGGTTCTCGGAGAGGGTTTTCCTCCCGCTCCCTCCCTTTTAGTTTCAGTCTTTCAGGGGCTGAAAACTAAAAGCGCCTTGTGAGCCAATTCTGATCAAACCCAGTTTGCAGTAATATAAATACTCCAACAATGGAGAAGGGGAAATAATGGGACTGGCCACCCTTGGGAACAGCCCCAGAACCATTAGCCAGGTGTGTTCCAGGTGCACTTGTTCTACAGGTTTACTTTGCTCCCAAACTAATAACACCTTTCAAATTGGCAACAGGTACACAGTGCAGCAGGTGTGTCTACCCACCTGGCAGCCCCCTGCCACGAGTGACGTTTCATACCGCGTTCTCTTATATGCGGTGCCAGCCAATCCTTTATGCTGGGACTTGCCATTGGGGGACAAAGGGCTAGACACTGAATGGGAGCTCGGGAGATCTCGGCTGATTCTATTCTCTAGCTTTCTCGGTGGCAACGATAACCTTGGGCACGTGTCTCGAGTGTAACCGACTGTAGCTCTGCCTGTGTCCGGAGCAGTCGCTCCTCTCTGAGCTGTTGTTCATCCCAGGCGGGCCCCTTGGGCTGCACTGTTCCTCAACACTATGTTACAAGGGGAAGCTCAATATTTTGTTTCTGTCTCCATGCCCTGCCAGGACCTGCCTGCAGCTGCCTTTCCCCAGCGAGAGAAAACTGGACCCAGTATTGCTCGAGGGTACCAGGTAGTAGAGGATCAAATAGCCAGCGCCAAGATCCAGTGTGGTGCAGTGAAGGGGAGAGGAAGTTGTGAGTCCAGTTGCCTGGACAGTGTCTTGATAGCGTAGGCCATCAAGTAAGCAGTGAAAACCCATCCTCGACAAATAATCACTGTGTTGGAGATGGGTGAGTGTTCCCACCGGTGACCTCCAGCTGCGTGTGGGGTTGTAAAGGGGTAGGAGAAGAGGGAACTGGCTGCCCCTTTGATAGCTGCATCCTCCTGGATCTGTACAGCAGGGCAGGGCTGCTTTGAGGGCATGGCAGCAGTGCTGCCACCATGACCGTGGCTCACACTTGAGCTACCTATAAACTGGGCAGCTTGGGAACTGCCAGCGAGTATTTCCCCAGCTCCTTACATGGGTGGTGCAGCCCCCACTGAGCTCCCAGGTGCCACAGCTGTGCTGCCAGTGGTTCCTGTAGGGTCCCGTTCAAAGCTACCTGGGCCTGTGGTTACAGGAGCTGCAGACACAGCAGTGAATACAGTGTAAACATGCCACCCCAACCCCGGAGATTATCAGCTGTCCAAGAAACTAGGGCATGGGAGGGGTGCAGCTCCCTCAGGATATGCCCCAGCCCTGTGAATGAGGCTGACAGCCCAGGTGCATCACAGTTAAAACACTGTTAAAATATAATAAAACTTTATAGCAGCCTTGAAGGCCAGTCCCCTCCCATTGTCTAACAGGAGCTCTGTTCCCCTACCCTGTGTCAGTGGTGGGTTTAGAGAGCTGCCACCTCCCCGAGCACTGGCTTTGACTCCCATTCCCCGTCCTGAAGCAGGGGCCAGGGCCCCGTCATGCCAGGCTCTGCACAGAAACGCCCTGTAGGCTTGCAGTCCATGGGGAGATGCAGCAGGTGGAGAGGAGCAGGCGCGCGGCAATGGCAAGGCACTGGAACAAGCACTGGAGTTGCCTTGTTTTGGAGGCTTCCTGGCAAAGGGGACACAGGGTAGAGGCCTGGTGGTGCCTCACAAGGACCAGATCCGACAGACTTTGTTGTCCTGGGGAGGAGATCAACTGAACCACCGAGATCCAGCCACCACAGAGCCAAAGACCCCTTAGCTCCCCGTTGCACAGTCACAGCCTTGATGCTTCCAAGGGCCACCACTCCCCCATCTCCTCATGGGCAAAGCAAAGAGGGATCTCACGCAGCAAAACAGACTTGGGCTGCTACAAGCAAGAAGCATAAGACCCTGTTGGCCACCATGATTCATGGTGCAGTAGCCCCTCTGGAGGTCTGGGCCCACAGTAAATTGGAAACCGAGCAGACAAAGGATGACAGGAGGGGATTTAATCAGGGTCATGGAGCAGGGCCAGACACAGAACATAGGTTTTTTGGCTCAGACATCAGCCTTGGCAATATGCCATGGAGGGGGAGGGAGGATAGGTGGTCTCTAAGGTCCACATTGCTCTCTTGAAACCAGCCTTTTGGGCAGAGAGCAGCCAGTGCACCAGCAGGGCCTCTTTTCACCACCCTCAGGGGGGTTTCAGCTCCTTCCTCTGCCTGGGTAACTTTAGGCCAGTCAGTCTTACCTCTCTCCCTGGGAAAATACTGGAAAAAATCATCAAAGAGCAGATTTGTCCTCTGCCAGAAAAGCTTTGCAGCCAGGAACTTGAAAGCAACCAAGGTAGCAATTAGCATCTCCCACAGCACATACCTACATGTGGAGAGGCACAAGGTCCTCATGTAGGTCAGAGCTCACGGCAACTGCAGCCGCAAGCCTTGAGTCCAGGGGCGGGGAAGAAACCATTTGCCCTTGGTTGAAAAAGCACCTGTTAAACTGAAAGGAAAGGAGGAAACGTAGAAACCAGCCTGAATCAAGGGCGGAGAGAGAACATCAGAGAGGGAACTCACTTGGACGAGGCAGGAGTGCCCCCCCCACCCCACCATGTGTCTCTGGGATGCTTCATGTGCCTGCATGGGTTACCGGAACCAGGTACTCAAGCTCCGCATGGTCTGGTAGCTCTTTGTCCTGTGCAAAAACTGGCAGGCGTTGCAGTAGTGAAAGATCCAGCCTGGCGAGATGGAGGGGCTCAGCCAGGTTCGCCACTGGAAGTAGCGCTCGTAGCGCACGGGGTCCTTATCCAGCTGCTCAAGGTACTGAGCCAGCTCCAGAGCGCTGGGAAAGTCGTCAATGTGGATGAAGGAGTCTGGGGGCAAAAAGCGTTCGTAGTTTTGCCGGGGAGGCCCGCAAACTACTGGCACGGTCCCGGAGGTCAAGGCATTCTTCCAGAGCTTCTCAGTGATGTAGTCCTCGTGCAGAGAGTTCTCAAAGGCCAGGTAAAATTTGTACTGGGACAGAGTGGGGAGGAGCTGTTCCTGTGACAGAGGCTTGTGCTGACGGCCGTACACATCCACGTGGATGTACTTCTTCAGCTCAGTGTAGTATTGCACCCGCCGCGAGCCTGGGTTCCAGTTGCTCACCGCCCAGGCCACCAGCTTGGTCTTGGCTGGGATGGTGAAGTTGTGGGGCTGCCTGAGGAGCTCCAGGCTCCCATAGGGTGAGAAGATGTCAGAGTCCTTTCGGTAGGTCATGGTCATGTTGAAGATACCGTTCATGGCACCCAGGTTTGGGCTGTGGCTGGGAGACTCCAAGTTAAACCAGATCCAGTGCTGGAAAGGGGGTCTCGGCTCCCGCGGGAGCCTGCTCGGACCGGAATAAACATCCCAGTGATGCATAACCACAGCATCGGCCTTGTGGTACCAGCTGCGGTCGGCTGTCATATGACAGTCAGGGATGCCAAACAACGTGGAGCATTTTGTCAGAGGAAAACTTTGCCCAAAGGGCCAAGTCCAGAGCAGGATGGTCAGCTCTGGGGCTTTCTTTTCTGGGCTTGAGGTGTTTTCTGGAGAGGCTAGTGAGCCTGGCAGGGTTGAGGGAGGGTAACTGCAGGGCGCCGATTCTGGTTCCCTGGTTTGCCGAATGTAGGTAAATAAGCAGATGCCGAAGAAGAAATGGAAGAGAAGCACAGCGAAGAACTGCTTGCCGAGGAAGCCTTTCTTCTGCCCCGTCGCCTCCATGAGTGTATCTGAGAATGCTGAACATGCAGAAACAGTGGGTTAGCGGCGAGCGATAAGCGAGCAGAGTGGGGAAGGGACACTCGTAGCAAGGTGCGTGGGCCCAGAGATATGAGCACACCTGCCAGGAAACCTATTCCCGCCCCGTTTCATGCCCTGTGGCAGCCATGTCCTTTGGCTCCCCACCCGGAGGCAAATTCACCTCCTTCACGCACGTCAGTGGTACTGTGAATTACTGCTTCCAGTACGAACTACTCCTTGAGCTGAAGCGAACGTGCTGTCCCAGCTGCCTGGCTTCCAGGAACAAAGCAGAGCCAAAGCTGGGGAGAAGAGAGCTGTAATTCAGCTGGGAGGACCCTGGTGCTGGAGGGCGGTGGGATCTCTCAGTAGTTGAAGGGTTGAGGTCCTGGATGCCAGCAGGGAACTGAACTGGGGGCCTCCGGGGCTAACAGCTCACGTGAATGGGTTTGTATAGAGAAGTATCTGTGATCCACCCTCACTAATGGGTTACATGGGGGGTTCTGGACCTACGGGCAGTCTGCAGGATGGGCGCAATACTGGGAGTACCCAGGACTCTAGGTATCCAAGGTCAGTCAAGGCCTTAATTTGTAAAGACAAGATAGCCCATATACAAAGAACTCGTGTCACCCGCGCTGGGAGCAGTCACAAGTTACTGCCCCCAAATGCACAGTCTGATGCCAATTTACACACTACCTGGTGTCAACAAATAGACTAAGAGATGTCCCACCCTCCTTTTTGAACCAGTCGGGCTGGTTCTGACCAACCCTTTCTTTTGTGTATTGGAGAGAGCGCTGCGATTTTCTTACACTAATACCTTCCTGATGCCACATGAACATTTTGAGTCTCAATAGAGTCAACACTTCAGCATCAAAACGAAATGCAAAGAATGTTGCTTTCAAAACTGGCTCGGCGCAGAACGAAAGCATTCTTTGACTGTGCTTAATTAGCAATGACGATTAGCTTAAGCACAAAAACCTAGGAACATGAGGCACTAAATAGCAGGCTCTGCCGGAGATCTCCGGTTTCCTTTGCTGTGGGCACCCTCAGTTTCCTCCTTCTCCTCCTATCTTTTTCTTTACTTTCTGCTCGTTGACTCATTTAAGAAACTCAGAATCAATGCATTAAGAAGTAAACCCATAGCAAGATAAAAGCTCTTTTTGTTGTGACACACTATGCACTGGCATGGTCCCTTCTGAGAAAAATCACAGAATCAGAACTGATAGAGGTGGAAGAGGGAACAGGAGCAGAGAGGGAAAGAAACTTGCCTGAGCTTGGGGAGGCGAGGTGGGAATGCAGTGCAGGTGGTCCTGTCCAGTCCTCCCCCCCACCCCAGCACACACAACCCATCCTTACCTTGTTTGACGCCCCTGCAGTGGTCTAGGCAGTATTGAATGACCTCCAGCTGCTGTTCCGGAAAACTCCCATGCTGAGAAAAACGGGATCTGGAGAGTGGAAATGAAGTGGCTTTGCAGAGCGAGGAAAAGACAATGATGCAGAAGAGGAAGGTGAAGGGGAGTGGACTGCAGGTCAGTCTTGGGTGTTCCACCATATCTCATTCAGGTGTGCCAATCAGCTAGGACTAATGCTGCGTCATCTAGCAATAAATTCTCACTCTTCATCCACACAGCACCCCCCCGCCCCCAGCTCTGTGTACCAAACCTGATTTGTTGGGAGGTTAACTAAACAGTGTTACCAGAAATAAGTAACCCAACTAGAAAATCCCCAAGTGTAACGTACCTGCCTTTGTGGTTGAACATGATGTAACTCCTCTCTGGTAGAACAAGCAGTGAGTGCACGCAAATGATTCAAGTGTCTCCTTTCCAAGCTCCCAGGGCTCCAAAAGGGTCCTTTGCAGAGTCAGGACATGAGTGATAGAGATGTCCTGAGATTTCCATCTGGCAGGCTCTTCATCGCCAGGGTCGGCCCATGCAGCCCTCAAAGGACATATTCAAAAGCACCACGTGCCACGGTCCTCTTCTCTCCATCCCACCATGGCTCAGGAGCCCTTTGTCAGGAAGGAGTTGATGGGCAGCAAAGACCTTTGGGCTTCAGACTTACCCACTTTGAGTTTGAGTTCCACAACCGTGGCAGTCCCAGGTGGACAGGTCCACGAAATTAGGATTCAGCAGCCCATTTGGGGCAGACCAGCAGTAGGACAGAGACCTACTGCTGTACAGCTTGCTAGGTCCTGCCTTTGAGCTCCTCCAGCATGGGTGAATGGGGTCCAGTACCTCTCAGGCTCCGGGTACAGCTTCACTATTGGTTTTCTGGACTAGGGCCAACTGATCTTTGCATCTGCTTGCTTGGCTGCAGTTGGCTCCGGCATAAAGGCCACTTCACAAGATGAAATCTCTTGCAACATCACTACAGGCTGCTGGGTGGGATTTCGAATAGGAGGGCAGAGGCAGAGCTCACATCAGTTATGGGCGGGGATAATCAGGTGCGGGGAGATGCATTCAAAGGCCATTGTCACTGAAATGACAAGCCTTTGAGAGGGGGATGACAGGCCAGCCCCTGGCTCAAAACTAGATTTGCACTGCTCCTCCCTTGATACATCCTGCAGCTTTTAAGGGTATGAGTCTAATGCAAACAAAAATGCAAATATGTCATTTGACCAGGGAGACTGACTGGTTTGTGGGGTGGGATCTGCCAGTGTCGACCCTGGCTGCTCAAGTTGCACATGTCTTTTCATAGATTCTTAGATTATAGAGTTGGAAGGGACCCAATGGATCATCGTGTCCAACCCCCTGCCCCTGGCAGGAAAGAGGACCGAAGTCAGATGACCTTTGTCAGACGACAAAGAGGACCTCTGCTGTATCAGCTATTTGGTTGACCCAGCCAGGAAAGGCAGTGGTCTCTGTCCTTTTCCCAATGACATAAGGTCTAGGCAGGGGCTGCATGGTCGTCCTGCAGTCTGTGGTGGGATTATTACCCTTCCCACCCATACACAGGTTTCAGCAGGCACAGGTTTCAGCAGTAGCTAGCTGGGAAACTACATTTCAGGACTTCCAATGGGCTACAGTCATATTGCCATGTTGCTGTGGTTATTAGCTAGCTGGGAAACTACATTTCAGGACTTCCCATGGCCTACGGTCATATTGCCATGTTGCTGTGGTTATTTTAGTTACCTGATAAGCTTCGATGGGCTGCAATCTCAGGCCAGGACTTCCCTTGGATGGGAACTTTCAGGTTGGGCTAGAAAATGTCCACGGCAGGATGGAGCGAGATACTCTTGTGGTACATCTGAGACCTCAGTAGCTTGTAAACATCAAGGTGACAGAGACATGCTATATTCCAAGACCTCTTTTCCAAGTGCTGTGTGGGGCTAGCAGGAAAATGAAAGCTTTAGAAAATAATAGTTGCAAAGCCTCTGGCAAGCAAATGAGTCCGGAAATGCCTTGTATGCTTAGGTAACGTTGCATATCCTGTTGGAATGGGTTGAAGAAGCCGACCAAACATAACAGTGAGCACTGTACGTTGGCCAACCTGATAGAGGCATGGGTTGGGTCACTCTCCTTTGATCCAGGAATGCAAGACTGTGGCACCGAGTGGAACAAAAAAAGAAAGGGGTTGGGAAAGCCAGAGCCCTGAGCTGTTGACAGTTGGGCCCGGTAGACTTAGCGCATTGTTTCATGATAAATTCTCTGTAATGCTTTTGTGCTAAAATAAATACCCCCAGCTCTGTGTACCAAACCTGATTTGTTGGGAGGTTAACTAAACAGTGTTACCAGAAATAAGTAACCCAACTAGAAAATCCCCAAGTGTAACGTACCTGCCTTTGTGGTTGAACATGATGTAACTCCTCTCTGGTAGAACAAGCAGTGAGTGCACGCAAATGATTCAAGTGTCTCCTTTCCAAGCTCCCAGGGCTCCAAAAGGGTCCTTTGCAGAGTCAGGACATGAGTGATAGAGATGTCCTGAGATTTCCATCTGGCAGGCTCTTCATCGCCAGGGTCGGCCCATGCAGCCCTCAAAGGACATATTCAAAAGCACCACGTGCCACGGTCCTCTTCTCTCCATCCCACCATGGCTCAGGAGCCCTTTGTCAGGAAGGAGTTGATGGGCAGCAAAGACCTTTGGGCTTCAGACTTACCCACTTTGAGTTTGAGTTCCACAACCGTGGCAGTCCCAGGTGGACAGGTCCACGAAATTAGGATTCAGCAGCCCATTTGGGGCAGACCAGCAGTAGGACAGAGACCTACTGCTGTACAGCTTGCTAGGTCCTGCCTTTGAGCTCCTCCAGCATGGGTGAATGGGGTCCAGTACCTCTCAGGCTCCGGGTACAGCTTCACTATTGGTTTTCTGGACTAGGGCCAACTGATCTTTGCATCTGCTTGCTTGGCTGCAGTTGGCTCCGGCATAAAGGCCACTTCACAAGATGAAATCTCTTGCAACATCACTACAGGCTGCTGGGTGGGATTTCGAATAGGAGGGCAGAGGCAGAGCTCACATCAGTTATGGGCGGGGATAATCAGGTGCGGGGAGATGCATTCAAAGGCCATTGTCACTGAAATGACAAGCCTTTGAGAGGGGGATGACAGGCCAGCCCCTGGCTCAAAACTAGATTTGCACTGCTCCTCCCTTGATACATCCTGCAGCTTTTAAGGGTATGAGTCTAATGCAAACAAAAATGCAAATATGTCATTTGACCAGGGAGACTGACTGGTTTGTGGGGTGGGATCTGCCAGTGTCGACCCTGGCTGCTCAAGTTGCACATGTCTTTTCATAGATTCTTAGATTATAGAGTTGGAAGGGACCCAATGGATCATCGTGTCCAACCCCCTGCCCCTGGCAGGAAAGAGGACCGAAGTCAGATGACCTTTGTCAGACGACAAAGAGGACCTCTGCTGTATCAGCTATTTGGTTGACCCAGCCAGGAAAGGCAGTGGTCTCTGTCCTTTTCCCAATGACATAAGGTCTAGGCAGGGGCTGCATGGTCGTCCTGCAGTCTGTGGTGGGATTATTATGTGTCCCACCCATACACAGGTTTCAGCAGGCACAGGTTTCAGCAGTAGCTAGCTGGGAAACTACATTTCAGGACTTCCAATGGGCTACAGTCATATTGCCATGTTGCTGTGGTTATTTTAGTTACCTGATAAGCTTCGATGGGCTGCAATCTCAGGCCAGGACTTCCCTTGGATGGGAACTTTCAGGTTGGGCTAGAAAATGTCCACGGCAGGATGGAGCGAGATACTCTTGTGGTACATCTGAGACCTCAGTAGCTTGTAAACATCAAGGTGACAGAGACATGCTATATTCCAAGACCTCTTTTCCAAGTGCTGTGTGGGGCTAGCAGGAAAATGAAAGCTTTAGAAAATAATAGTTGCAAAGCCTCTGGCAAGCAAATGAGTCCAGAAATGCCTTGTATGCTTAGGTAACGTTGCATATCCTGTTGGAATGGGTTGAAGAAGCCGACCAAACATAACAGTGAGCACTGTACGTTGGCCAACCTGATAGAGGCATGGGTTGGGTCACTCTCCTTTGATCCAGCAATGCAAGACTGTGGCACCGAGTGGAACAAAAAAAGAAAGGGGTTGGGAAAGCCAGAGCCCTGAGCTGTTGACAGTTGGGCCCGGTAGACTTAGCGCATTGTTTCATGATAAATTCTCTGTAATGCTTTTGTGCTAAAATAAATAGCACGGTGCTTTGTGAGACCTGGCTGGTTTTGCTTCTCCACAAGAGACAAAGAGAAGAACAGCCGTGTCTGAACAAATGTCAGCCCTGCCAGTGCCGTCATAGGGAGTCGCCAGGAGGGCACAGACCGAGAGGGTGAGGGACGGAGCGGCTGGAGACCCGAAACCTGGAAGGGGGGCCCTATGGAGAAGCCAGAAAGACATCAGAGGTGCGCTTAACCGGGAACTAGGAACCATATCTTTAATACCAACGTGCCCAAGAAATAGGAGCCACGACCCTTCCTGGAGGCGGTCAGTTGGAGCTGGGGGCCTCAGGCCCTTAGGCCTCTCTTTCAAAAGCCCAGCGCACGGGTGAGGTACGTACCGGGTGGCTCACAACTGTGTGCTCTGGAGACTGCCCCTTGCAAAGGGGCTGACCTCGCTACCGTGCTGGGAGAGAGAGGAGGCACGCTCTGCTGTCCACCACAGCCTCGACCTTTGCTCTTGGCAGTTGTCGGGCCCACGTCTTTGCTGTCTTCTGACCCCTGGGCCGATGCAAAGAAGCCAGGTGACCAGTGAACTCAGCTGCTCTCCTCATCCTAGCCCTACCCTCCTAGCCCAGACAGCCCCTGTCAAACTCACAGCAGCCTGGAAACTGCCATACCTTCCACCAGCCCCAGAATATTCTGAGTCTGCTCCTACCCCACAGGCAGCAGTTTCTTTAGCGGTGAGGAGCAATGAATGAATTTCAATGGCAAGACGGGGATTAAAATCCACAGAGTCATGGCAGGTATCAACTCCGGGCCCCATGCTTTGAAGGGCATCAATTTTAGGGCAGACACTCCAACAGTTGCCCTCTGCCACTAGCAAGCTGCAAGCAGGAGTGGTCCCTAGGAGTAACGGGTCCTAGCCCTGACCTAGGGATGGATATGTGTATGATTCAGTGGCTCTGCCCCCCTGCTCCAGGTGTGCCCAGTACAGTTCACAGACACCAGCCGTTTCAGAGCTATTCCCAGAGCATTTTTTTGTGCTTCCAGCCACTGCATTTCTGAGTTGCTCTGAGTGAGAAGGGCAATTCCCCCAACTCAACAAATCCAGCAGCTATGAAACCTAAATGAAATGCAATCCTTCTTTTCTTTGGAAGAGAAACAGATTTTCATAAGGGCCAAGCAGTGCCCCGGACTGGGCTCTGCCACGGATGGAAGAGTTTGGCGCAGAGAGGAATGACCGGGTGCTACAGCACAGACTAGCCACCGTGTCCTATGAGTCCATCTGAAGACAGTGACCGACTGCCCTGGATTTTCTGTGATGGTCGCAAATGAGGAGACTGTCTTCCTGCTTCCTCAAGTTGTCTCTGACATGAGATGCTTCCCCCAATTTAAGGAAATGGTCGGGAATCTGCCAACTCCCTCACCTCCATCATTCCCACCATGCAAGGAAGTGTTTGCCAGTAGGACACAGCCTGATGCTCCCTGAGCACTGGTCTCCTGCTTCTAGCTCGGGAGGTGGCTACTGGCTCCATCTGGAATCAGAAACAGTGAAGATGCATTCACTGTTAGCCTGTGACCAAGCTAATTAGCTCTTCCTCTCATCAGCCTGCCCCTAGCACTGCCTGGAAGCAGAAGTGGTGCAGATTATTTCTGGTTCCAAAGAAGTATCTGGGAGGGTGCGCTGGAGCTGTCTCCCCTAC